ATTTACATAAACTCGGAGTCTAGCGCTGTGCACGGCCATCGCTCTCACTAATTGACAAACATTCTAATTCAACTATTGTAAAATTTATTATAGTTCTATTGGAAAGATACAGAGGCAGCACTGGAAATTTTCATCTCTTACTTTTTACAATAGTAATATCGTATTTTTTCATGAATTAATAGTATTTTTTCTTCTAAAATATTTGATAATTAATATTAATAAAGGTATAGTCCAGCTTTACAATAGTTGTATCGTAAATTTTCCCAGAAATTTTTTCCCGTGTACATGAAATGATTTTAGAAAGTAAAAGATGGTTTAATTTAAGTGTTTTCTCGGTGTACATCTACTTATATCATTGTATAAGTGTAATATGGTTGTGATAGAGACATTTAAAGATCCCAAAATTGATTGACCTTGACGAGTCGAGTATAAAGCACAACCTCACGCGCTTCGCGCTATGAGGCGTGCAATATGCGATAATTTTAATTTCAGAATGTACTATAGGGATTGAGAAAGATGACTTTGACGCCACCTGCCGGGAAAAATGTTAAGCAAAGTGGTGGCAAGTGCTATACAAAACAATCACAAATTTATTAAATAAATTTTTTTTTAATCTAATTGAAATAAATTTTGGTAATGTCTTCTTCAAAAGTTTCTTGCTGTATCCGTGGCTGTTCCAATATGCCATATAAAAATAAAAACCAAAATACAAGTGTTAAATTTTATCGTTTCCCTGCAAGTACTCTGAACTCAGCGTGAATAACCCTTAAACGTCAACAATGGATAAATGCAGTGAAAAACTATGTGTAAGTAAATTATTTTAATAAAAAAATTAAATTAATCACGATCAAATTTAAAAGACTAAGCAATATGAAATAGAATATTAAATAATACAATGATTATTTTGTAAAGTAAATAAAAATGTACTAAGGAAAAATAAAATTTAAAATAATTTTTTTTCAGGAAATATCCAAATGATTGGGAACCAACTCAAAATACTCGGATTTGTAGTGCTCATTTTGTTAATAATCAAAAGTCAGAACATCCTCGGCATCCTTCATACATACCAACAATTTTTCCTGGTAAAGTAAATATCATAAAATCTACTCAAGTATTTGAACGTTTCGAACGATTACGACAACGAAATTTACAAAGTGAAATGAATATCATTAATAATAAAATTAATAATACTAGTAATAATAATATAAGTGAAATTGAAATTCAAGATGATAATAATTGGGTAGATGCTGAAACACAAAGTGTAGAAGATCATTGTGTATTTGATAGTACTCCACAAAAAACAACTCGTAGCATTACATGTCAAACTGATGAAATTGTTGATGAAAGTGTTTTAGGTGAACATAAATATTTTTTTTGCAACATAAATTCCTGTGATGGTGTATCTACTGCAGAAGTACAAGTAAACATTCCAATTAAAAGGACAGCTGAAAAAATTTGTGATGTTAATCTGCCGCCTTTACGAAAGAACGTTGAAGATGTTGGGTGTGATCCAATTACTTCAGATTCTATTAAATCTGATTGTAAAGGTTTTCATGGAATTACTTCTATTCATGATGACCGATCCTTAAGCAGTTTAACCGGTGTTAATTTTTCAATATTTACATTATTATTGAATATGCTTCCTGACATAAAATCTACTAAAATAGATAAAAAAACAAAATTAAACCGTTGACGTTAGCCGAGTTGTCTAAGGCGCATGGCCTATAGAGGACTCGGACTAACTTACCGGCCAGGCGTGGGTTCGAATCCCAAGCTGGTCTTAGAAACCAACTTGGTTGATATTCGGCCCTTGCCGCGTAGATTAAGATTTACACAACCCAAAAAGACCCCAACGTATCACTCCTAACAGTTAAAGTCGGCGATATGACCACAGCAGTTAAGACCGACTCAATAATTAATTAAAAAAAAAAAAAAATTATCACTTTGACAAAATTGAAGACTGGTCTGACATTTACAGCACTAGGAGTACTATTCAACATCCACAAAACTTCAGCACAAAAAATATTTATCAGTAACTTACAACAACTCAATATCTTATTGAAAAATTTTATAGTTTGGCCTTCGAGAGCTACTATACAAGCAACTCTACCAGAAGCTTTCAAAAAAAATTACCCTGCAACACGCGTGATTATCGATTGCACTGAAGTGTATACAGAGCAACCGCCGGAAGTAAGACAGAAAGTTTTGATGTACTCAGACTATAAACATCATTAAACAGTGAAATTCTTGGTTGGGTGTGCTCCAAATGGATTAATAACTTTTGTATCTAAGTGCTACGGTGGTCGTTCTAGTGACTGTTACATTACGAACGATTGTGGAATAGTAGATTTGATAGAACCCGGTGACGTTGTCCTTGCTGATAAAGGTTTCCCTCAAATTAAAACCGAAGTTGAAAAAAAGAATGCTGTCTTCATTATGCCTCATTTTGCCCATGGTGGACAATTTACAGCTGAAGAAGTTGATGAAACCTACAATATTGCTTCGGTCAGAATTCATATTGAACGAGTGAACCAAAGAATCAAAGATTTCAATATTTTTACAAAAATACCAATATCTTTGCAGTTTAATAAATATTTCCAAGCCTATAATAAAACAATAGTTCAAAAGAAATAATATAAATACAAGTGTATGAAATTAAAAATTTATTTAAAAAATTTATATGATTTATGTAATTATTTTTTATCACATTTTTGTATATACTTTATATGTAACAATTAAATTACAATAAATATAATAATTTGTAACATTTATCAAAATTTGCAAAAGTATCATAGCTTTTTTTTAAAAACTAATAATTTAAGTTGTCAAATAAAAGGTAAGTTAAATTAACATTATTAATTCAATAATAGAAATAATAATTATAATTATAATAATCTTAAATATTGCAGATAGAAAATGCATCTAGTTTTTTTTAGAATGTATAGAAAATATCTTTGGAGATAATGTTGGAAATAAAATTTTTGGAGTGCAGGTATTATTTTGTTAAGAAAAGCCTCATCTCGTCCAACAGTTATTAAAACACTACCCATAGGTGAATAGATGAATAAATCACAAAAAGCAATGTTTGTGACGTACATTTGAAGCTGAATTTGAGTGTAAATTGAGTGAGTTGTACTTGAGTGCAATCCATTTTCATCGAATTTTAAGTATTGAACGTGGATTTCCAGTGATTCTTCATTTAAAATCGGTTGATTACGGCATGAATATGGGCATTTCACTTCAATGAGTCTTTTCTGCCAAATATTTGGCCCATAAATTAGAATACTATCTGGACTACATGACATCCACGGCTGAGGAATATTAATAAGGCCAACTCTGACTACTTCCCAATTTGGTTGTAGTAATTTCTTGTATTCTTTAAGAGCAACTTCTTCAGTTTTTTTTTCCATAACTCATAGCAGAGGTTTCATATTTACTACGATTCACAAGCTCATCAATAATTTTCTCAATGTTAAAACGATTTCCCTTCACTTTGTGCCCATTGCTAGCAGTGATACGCAACTTTCTTTCCTCAAACCACTCAGATTTTTAAGACTGATCAATCGTTTCAATACTTATTGATAATGCCTTATCTACATCACAGCAGACTTTATTTTGGTAAAAATCATGCCATTGTTTAAGCGTTTCACACTCAACACCATGTAAATTATTAACTAGTTGAAGAGTGAAAATGTCTAAAGTGACTTTTTTTGCTTTTTCTAGTTATATAAATGCTTCTAGACAGTCATATAAATGTCCTTAATAAATAATTATCGTAAATTAAAACATAAAATAAATAAATATTAGTGTAAATATGTAAAAATATTATAACTTTTGAACGACTGAACCGATCGGAACGAACTAAACGGCGTTCTAAAGGGTTCCCTCAAACTTAGATTTCCTGAGAATATGAACCAATTCGGACCGATAGATTTTAAGAAATCTTGAATAATCTCAAAAAAAATAAGAAAAAAATAATTTTTGAAAGTGGTTTTTTGGAATATCTTTTAAACGGCTCTATCGATCAATTTAAAAAACTAGCTCAGCTCTTAACATTAAAAAACCACGTCGATTGCCGCCAATCCGGTCGAAATCGGTTAATTCGTTCGTCAGTTATCGTTGACGAAAGAAAACCGAAAAAAGTGTTTTTTCGGAATTACTTCGAAATTCCTAGCTCGACCGATTTAAACTTAAAGATTCTTCATAGGAATTCAAAAACTGCGCCGATTGCCGCCAACCGCCTGAAAATCGGTTCATTCATTCAAAAGTTATTGCGATTTGAAAATTCAAAAAATAGTGTTTTATCAAACTTCTACCAAACTTTTGAGCTCGAAGAGCTCAAAAGCATACAAAAGCTATTTTTTGAGCTCGGAGAGCTCACAATAATACAGAAATTGTATTTATGAGCTCGAAGAGCTCAAAAACGTCATAAGTACAATTTCAAGCGTTTAGGTATAGAATTGGCGGGAAGTTGCAGGGATGGCCTTCAGGGTCAACCGTTTTCCTAATTTTTTTTTAAATAAGTACTCATCTACCTGGTTTATAAGTATTCATAATTATAATTCTTTTATTCAAACTCTTAATAATTGTTTTCAGATATTACAAAACCATTTATTAATTGGCGTTTGGCTGTTAGTTGCCGGTCTTCAAGCTCAATTGACTGTTAGCAGCTTTAGTAGTGTAACAGATAAAAATAAAGAGGAAAAAGGCAAATCGCCGAGTAAAGTTCGCGATGGAACTTCACGAATTAACTTGATGAAAGTGTAATGAAACTTTCTTTGTTAAAAAATACTATATCTTTTTTGAAAAATATAATAGTTTATATTATTTAAATTACATTTATTTATCCTTTACAGTCAGCAGGGTTTTGGCGTTCTGTCAGTAGCTCTTGCTTCTCATGCACTTTCCATTATGAGTGCATTACTTGAAGATGTTTCTGTAGAAGCTACTCAAGAAAATCAACTTCCAGAAGAACCAGCTTCTTTGGAAATTTTAGCAACTTCAACAGCACTTCAACGAGCTATGACATTTCTTCAGGAAGCACCACTTAATCATTTGCTATTTTATTTAGCAACGATTAGTTATCGAAAGGTATATAATTATTTTTTTTTATTTATTTTGAAAAAAATAATTATTTCTCCTACAATGTTACATTAAAAAATTTTAGGCTTGTACTTTGAAACGAGTACAAAAACATCCTCAAGAAGGTGATACATTGAGCCAATCAGATTCTACGACTTATTATGAAGATCTTCTGAGCTTTTCAGAAAGTTCAACTGATGAAGGTAGTATTTAATAAGTCATTAATTAACAAAAAAATCAATTCAACTATATTTATTGTTTTCACAACGTTAACTTAAAGTATACGGAATTAAATTACGCATAGTCAAACATTTTTTCTTTCATTTAAATAACAATCATTTGTTAACAATTCAATACATATCATACTGATAAGATTTAACAGTAATCAGACACTACTTGAAGATCTTTTTCTATTATCATTGCTATTAATTGGCTTTTGTTTGATCTATCTTACTAACTTTCTGGGGTATGTTCACTATGTAGAACAAACTGTTATGTCGGTAGAGGAAGACAGTGAACCTATCTTGGGACTATGGTTTGAAGAAACTTTATCTCCTTCTGAAGGATCCCCATCTAATATTACCAAAGAAACAACTAATGAACTCGGTCCTGAGCGCACCACAGCTACGATTGTTCCTGATAATCGTGAACCTCACGGAGTAAGTGTATTTTTATTAGAGCTCTTATATGAATTAATTATTCGTTTATTAATAAATCTATTTCTTTTTTCACAGTATATTTCATTAGCAACACAAATATTCCAATTTATGAATCAACATCTTATTGGAAGCCGAAGTTCTTATGTGCGAGAATATGTAGTCAATGGATTAATCGAGCAACAGATGGTGATTCTGGCTGCAATTATTCGAGATTTAGACCATGAAACTGCTAGAACTGAAACAGGTATTATTATTATTATTATTATTATTATTATTATTATTATTATTATTATTATATTAAAGAAAATTCCTTAGAAATCATAATGCATTATATACTATATATATCAGTGTAAGAAACGAGGTAAATATGAAATTCTGATTAATTGACGGTCAAGTGATAATATAGCGTAATCGAATCAGAATATAGTGATTAATATTGTTAAATATTCTCTACACTACAAAGAATGTTCGATTTTAAATTGAGCACTTGAAAAAAATTTTCATTTTAAGCTATGACAATAATAGTAATAATAATAATAATAATAATAATAATAATAATAATAATAATAATAATAATAATAATAATAATAATAATCACAGCATTCTAGGACCTCAAAATGTCGAGATCTAATAAAAATTTGATTTTCGAAAATCCGATTGGAACTAATTAATTTTCAAAAATTTTCTGAACAGAAAGTTAAAAAAATTTTAATAAATATATATTTTGAAAAATTCTTATGAAATTGACCTGCTGCCTCGTTCACTTATGTTGTATAATTGTAATTCAAAATAAAAATATTTTATACATGTATACACGTAAATGGAATACATGCATTTATGTATACATGTAAATGCGCATTTAATTAACGTTTTCGTAAGATGAAAAATCAAAATTGAATTTTTTTTGGCTCCTGTAAAATTTACTGAATTAAACTTCGGCAATTTTCTTCTAAGAGCAACAATACGCTCTAAATAAACAAAAATTGAACTTCTTTGACATGTTCAAATTCATAGTTAATTCTTTACAACATACGTTTAGAGCATGTATAAACATATGCCATTGTCAAAGTACCTAATTCAGAAGGAAAAAAAATTATTGCAAATAAACAAAAATTTTGTTTTTGATGCTTAATGCATCGATACCCAACTTTAAAATGTCGTAACCCACAAAATTTAACAACTTGACTTTTTTTAAAAAATAGATTCATAACAATATTGTGCAGCTCATATTAAAAATTTAGAGATTAAACCACTATTAAAAATAAACTGTTTTTACAGTCTGCTGTAAAATTTTCTAAATGTGGGTTACAAAATTTTAAAACTTCGATATCATTATAATAATTTTGTGTCATAAGTCGGATGTATAATAATAATAATAATAATAATAATAATAATAATAATAATAATAATCATTTTACAGGGACTATTTCTGTATTTTACGGTGCGACACTCGGTACTATGTACACCGAATTTTCTCAAGCTTTAAGCCGATATACTCACAATTTACTGGCACGTAATACATTAAGCGAGGCATTGCAAAATACATTACTTCAACACTTGGGAGTTAGTCCATGGGCATCGGAAAGTGGATCATCAGTTTCATGGCCCTTGAAAGTTTATCCTAGGACTCTTAGTGTCTTAGCTCAGATTCTTTTACTAAAACCTCAGTCAGAAAAAGAAGCAGCTTGCATCAGTATTTGGCAGAGATTAATCACAACTTTAATTGAAAATGTTTGCATTCCTCCAATAACACTTGAACCAGAAAATGAAGATCTTAATGTTGAACATGCTCAATTGGTTCTTTTTCTGTTCCATTCACTTAATTTAATGCAAAAAAAATCAGTTTTATTATTAACTGCAAGTGGAGTAATACGGTGTAGTGAAGCTATTAAAACTTCTATGAATGATTCACAAATACTTCATCTATCACGGCTTTTATTACTACTTGAATATATGATGAGACATTTATATGATGCTCCTTCGATGTTGCTCGAACAAGTAAGTTATTTACCGTAATTTAATAGTTGATTTATTATTTATTTCATGCATTTCATTAAAACTTCGGAATAAAGGTTCCTTTTATTTATTTCGAAGTATTTACTTTAATTGAAAAATATAATTTACTTTTTATAAAATATATATCGTAAAAATGCAAAATAATTTAAAAGCTACTTTAAGCTTGCCTGAGATAACAGGGCCACCTAAATAGTAGAAACAATTGTGTGGTAGTAAAAATCTCATACATTTCATAAATATTAAATAATATATATTAAAAATTATTGTATTATTTCTGGTTTAGGTCCAGTGGAACCTTCTTTCTGCTACAAGTTTAGTACCTGACACAAAAGAAGGAAGTAAACAAGCTGCAAGAGTTTACACTCCCTGGAAAGAAATCGAAGATAATTATCCAAAAAATGGATCACAAGATGAATTTACTATGAAACCACGTTTTTATAACTTAACTAACGCCGACTTTAATAATCAAGATATACCAAAGCTGGATGGATTAGCATGCAATTTTATTTTAGGCACAACAGATAAAATTAAATATCCTTTACTTGTAGAAGCATTAATAGATATTCTTAATGTCATCAATCAAACCAGTATACCAAGAAAATCCCAAACTGATGGGAAAGATAAAATGTCTATTACTGGTTTATGTGGTACGCAGTATTGCTTTTTCATTTGTTGGAGACTTTTATTGATGTTGCCACCTTCAGCAACATACATGGATAAATTAGCTTTAGGCGAAGAGATTCCTGCTGGTCCAATGCTTCTGTATTCTCTTATTTGGGGTCCTCGAACTGCCCATAAAACATTTGCTTCATGGATGAAAGATTGTCTTGTCAAACAAGGAATGTTTACCCAATATGCTGAGAACCTTCTTAAAACAGTATCATCAACAGTTAACTCATTGAAATATGATATAACATTAGCAAAAAACTGCATTAAGATTTTTAAACCTGAATTGAACCATTCTGATAAAATAATGCCACAATCATCTCTACCAAAGTTAAGTTCACTTACTATTTTAGCTGCAATAATTGGCAAATTACAAGTTCTTATAGATGAAAATATCTCTAAAACGCCAACAGATAACATCGAAACTAATAAAAATCCACATAATTCAGAATCAATATCATCAGTTACGAATAAAATGATTGTTGATGTACTTCCACATGTATTATCATTAACGGAAGTAATTTTATCTTCTTGTCGATCTAGTGTTCTTCATCAAATGTATGAAATAACTGAGTCAGTTGGAAAATGTAACCTACAAGATTACTTAGTTTTAGATAGCATTATTTGTGTAGCTAACGCAAATTGGGCTACGGATTTTTCTATTATCACACTATTACCTCTTGGAATTCGTTCTATTTTAGATAAATGGAAAGCTTTGAATGTAACATGTATACCATGGAATACTTATGCAAATGATGTTATTCCAGCAGAAAGTTATATCCTAACAATTGTAAATCATCATATCAGTACATTATCAGAATATGGAATCTTTTCAATCAATCCATCACTGAAAAATTTACTGTATTCTTTAGTAGTTTTTCTTTATGAATACATTACTCCCATCAACGTACCAGAAAATTCCGAAATTTACAATCAAACAATTGATATTTTAATAGCACTTATTATGGATGCAAGAACTGATTACTTACAAGATATGGCATCAAAAATTTTAACTAAATTATTGGGCCCTATTGAAAGTGAGTCAAGAAAATTAAAAGAGTATCTTTTTGTTCTAAACCATACATACAATGTTATTATTGATTATACAAAGCATGAAGAATCTATTAACCTCTCTGTTGATAGTAAAATTTTGAAACAATGCATAAAATATTGGGAAAAATTGTTGGATAGTCCTATTGGATGCAAAGCTTTAGATCAATTTTTTACATGTTGTCCCAATCGAACACTATTATCTGTTCTATTATCAATTTCTTCTCCTCAAGCATCTCAACAATTTAACTTTCATGTTCTTCATTTCTTTAATAAATTATTTAAAACTGCAGAAACAAATAATGATGAGTCATTAGACCGCTTATGTTGTTCGGTTTCAAATCTTACCAATGTTGAAAATGATGTTCTTCAGTCTTGGCTAAGGCATATAATTTTAGGTGCTAAAAATAAATTACCAATTAATATTAAAAGTTGTAAAAATACAGGAACTGTTAGTGCTTCAGGAAATAACAACGGAACATCAAAAAATGATAACTTGAATAACACATCGGCAAATGAGCAAGTAACTTGGCCAACTGTACTATTAAACTCTGCTAACAGCAATCAAGTATCTAGTTTCAATGAAGATTATCAACTTATGCAAGAACATAATCAATTACTTCAATCTTTGACAAATTATATTGTCAAAGCCAATAGTACACTCAGTGAAAATGTTTCAACTACTATACTTGAAGCTTTGATACCATGGGGATATCATCTTTTATCTTCATCTATTGAAGGAGCAGGATTTTCTGAATTAATGCAAGTAATGATAACATTGGCAGATACAGGAAATGATGAAGGACATATATTACTTTTCAAAGCAGCAACTGATTGGGTTGAGTTATGTAAACAACGATTAATGAGTAACGATCTACAAACACTGGATAAACCTTTACCTTACATTGAAGCAGGATGGTGTGTTTTAAATTATATCGCTGATATTGTTAATGCAGTTTGTCCTGCGCAGTTATTCATGCATGATAGAGCTACAAGTCCACCTTGGGAAGGTGCATCTCCTCTAAATGACTTTAATGACAATGACTGGATGGATGAATTGCCTCATGAAGATGATGATAGTGCTGCAGAAGATTCTGATGAAGATAGTCTTTGTAATAAACTATGTACATTTACAGTAACACAAAAAGAATTCACAAATCAACATTGGTATCATTGCCATACCTGTGCTATGGTGGACGGGGCTGGAGTGTGTACAGTTTGTGCTCGAGTATGTCATAAAGGACATGACGTAACTTATGCCAAGTATGGAAATTTCTTCTGTGATTGTGGTTCTAAAGACGATGGATCCTGTCAAGCTTTAACGAAAAGAAGTCCTCAATGTTCAGAGCATCAAGCAGGAAATACTTCAACATATAATAATTCAAATGGAAATGAAAGTAATACCCCAACAGCTAATAGATTGCGCAAACGAGCTACAAGCCCTATTTCTTGTGATGAAAAAATAGATCGTAATGAAAAAGATAAGAAAAAACAACTGAAATTAATTAAACAATTAGAAAATTCAAAAGAATGGGTACTATCCGAATTATGGTCTAGTGGATTGATAATTTCATTAGTAGAACTGACAAAAACATTATTACCAGTAGTAAATATTTCTTGTCAAAAAAATTCTTCAGTTGGATGTCACACTCGGGCTCAAATTGCACTTAGACAACTTCACACGTTAGAAAAAAAATTCGAACATACTGACCAATTGATGTTATCAACTTTAGGTTCTCAAGAAGGGGCATTTGAAAATGTAAGAATGAACTATTCAGGTGATCAAGGACAAACGATTAGACAACTTTTATCAGCTCATATGATAAGAAGAGTTGCCATGTGCTGTTTATCATCTCTTCATGGCAAACGACAACATCTCGCGGTCTCACATGAAAAAGGCAAGATTACTGTATTGCAATTGAGTACCTTACTAAAACAAGCCGACTCATCAAAACGTAAACTTACCTTAACTAGGTTAGCTTCTGCGCCTATTCCATTTACAGTTTTAACTATCACCAGTAATCCATGGAATGAAGACTTTTTAGCTGTCTGTGGTTTAAAAGATTGTCATGTTTTGACCTTCAATAGCTCTGGAATAGTATCTGATCATTTGGTACTTCATCCTCAACGTGAGCCTGGAAATTTTATTATCAAAGCTATATGGCTACCTGGTTCTCAAACTCAATTGTCATTAGTTACTGCAGATTTTGTTAAAATTTATGATCTCAGTAAAGACGCGCTTAGTCCTCAATATTATTTTCTTGTTCCTATTGGTAAAATTAGGGATTGTACATTTGTGCATACGGAAGATGGAGTTTTCTATCTTCTTCTTATGTCATCTGCAGGTTATATTTATAGTCAAGCAATGACCGAAGAAAGTTCTGCTAAACACGGTCCATTCTACGTTACTAATACTTTAGATATTTATCATCCAGAAATTAAAGATTATGGACAAGTTGGTGGTGGTGGAGTTTCCCTTTATTATTCTCATGCACTTCAGTTACTGTTTTTCAGTTACACATGCGGTAAAAGTTTTATTGCACCGTTAAAGAACATGGAGTCAGATATAACAACTGTATTTCAAATAAATTTACAGAATAATAAAACAAATGGTAATAAGTCAAATAATAACCAACCACAACCTCTTTGTCAATGGAGTGAAGTTGCTAACCATCCGGGATTAGTTTGCTCAGTATTTCAAACTAGTAACAATCCAGTAATCTTAATGATTAAGCCTGATGTGATAATGATTCAAGAAATAAAAGTCGTTCCTAAAGCAAAAATAATGGATATGGTAGCTATAAGACATCCAAGCTCTAATGCTGAACATAGAACAACTCTCATACTTCTTTGTGAAGATGGCAGCTTAAGAATCTACATGGCGGCGATGGAACAAACTGGATTTTGGATGTCGTCAAATGTTCAATCTCTCGGCACAATGTCTGGTATAAAACAAAGTAGAAAAAAGAAAACAGCAAAAATTGGTAAACCTTCAGGAGTAGTCTCATTTCCGATTGATTATTTCGAACATTGCCAGTTGATGAATGATATTGAATTTGGAGGAAATGACTTACTACAAATTTACAATGTTGCTCAAATAAAACATCGATTGAATACTACTGGAATGTATGTAGTTTCTACAAAAGCTATTGGTTTTAATGTAGATGTTATTAATAATGACCCTACGTTAGTTATCACCGGTATAAGAGTTCAACTTGGAAGCCAAGACATTCAACGAGCTCCTCTTTATGTTGAGGTAAAATTATTTAAACATTTATTTTTTATTTTTTTTTCTTTTTTGTATATTAATATTTACCTTTAATGAAATCAAAATTTATTTGATAGGTCTTTGGTAGAAGTATTCGTACTTCTTTGACGCGAAGTCGTTGGTTCGATATACCATTAACAAGAGAAGAAAGTCTTCAGGCTGATAAAAAGCTGACTATTACTTTTGGACTTTCTCAAGATCCAGATGTTATTATGGTTGATTCAATAAAAATGTATGATTTTGATAAATTTTTTCATTTTTTATAAATGCAGTTGAATAACTTTAATATATAATTTTATGTATGATAGGTACGGTAAAACCAAAGATGCTTTCGGTTGGCCTGAAGAATCTGATGAAACAACAACCGGACAAACACCAGCACCGACTGCGAGTTCAATGATTACCAATGAAAATGAAAATGTAGTAGTTGCAAGTCCACTTACACCTCTTGATAAGTAAGTAAGATAAGATTAATTGAAATCTTTATTTTACATAATATATGCATAAAATCTATTGCATGACTCATGATGCGCGAAGCATCAGATAGTGCTTAACGATCGAAAAAATTTTTTCGTCTCATTTCGGTAACTACTTTTATTACTATAGCCTTATTAGTTCAAGGTATCAAAATATGTTGTATACTATTGTGAAGATAATTTAATGAAGACAAATTCCATACTTTTCAAAAATTTATTAAGTGCAATAGAAACGGAAAACAACATCTAAATAGTTAAAAAAATTTTCCTGTCCGTCATGTATGAAACCCTGAAAACACTGTAACTGGCAAAAAAATCTATTAATTGAGTCAAATTTTTTTTTTTTTAATTCTTTAAACGAATTATAGGTCACCGAATGCGAATAGCTAGGTAATTTAGTGTCGTTTATTGACGGAACTTTGGTAAAACCTCATATCTCTCATTTAAAATACACAGAAGATACGAGGTTCAGGGTACCCAGACTTTCTTTTCGGCGCGTAGCCGACCTGTGGCGCTAAAATCTCCCAAAGTTGCCGCGATCAATTCAAATTATATAAATTAAATAAATTTTTTTTTTTTTTCAAATCTGGTTTATAGAGAATTATAAAATTATTATCTTTAAACAAAATTATAAGTTAGAATATAAAATTCAAGTAAATTTTATGAAGTGAAATTTTCATCATAAAATTAGTTTAGATAAATTAACATATATGTTATATTAGGGTGTCTGTTATTTACCAATTTGGTTTTTGACTTTGCAGTGCCCATTAGATTTTTAGTTCGTGACCTAGTAAAAAATATCAGACCCATATAAGCCCTTAACCCGTTAAGGACACACTTCGAAAAAATGACGTTGAGGACACACGGGGTCCAGTGGACCCCACTCAGCAAAACATTTCTAATTCGTTTCCTATGTAATGTATTGGAATCCTGGAAAAAATAGACCCTATAGTAATACATTTAAAACAAATTTTATTAATGAATTTGAACAAAGTCTTAAATCCAATAAATACAGTTATTATTATACGAATACTATTTTAATAATACTGTTTATTTAAGTAATTTATTTTATAACATATACTTTACAACTTACATATACTAAACAACATGGTTTAAATGTGTGTCTTATTCGTAAATAGACCAATACCAACGCGGGTAATCGTGTTGCGCCCTTTTAACATGGTTTGAATGTGCGTTTTTTTCATAAATAGACCAATACCAACGCGGGTAATCGTGTTGCGCCCTTTCAACATGGATTGAATGTGTGTTTTATTCGTAACTAGGCCAACACAAACGTGGGTAATCGTGTTGCGCCCTTTTAACATGGTTTAAATGGATGTCTTATTCGTAAATAGACCAACACAAACGTGTGTAATCGTGTTGCGCCCTTTTAACATGGTTTAAATGTGTGTTTTATTCGTAAATAGGCCAACACAAACGCGGGTAATCGTGTTGCGCCCTTTCAACATGGATTGAATGTGTGTTTTATTCGTAACTAGGCCAACACAAACGTGGGTAATCGTGTTGCGCCCTTTTAACATGGTTTAAATGGATGTCTTATTCGTAAATAGACCAACACAAACGTGTGTAATCGTGTTGCGCCCTTTTAACATGGTTTAAATGTGTGTTTTATTCGTAAATAGGCCAACACAAACGCGGGTAATCGTGTTGCGCCCTTCTAACATGGTTTGAATGTGTGTTTTATTCGTAAATAGACCAACACAAACGCGGGTAATCGTGTTGCGCCCTATTTTTTCTGGGTCTATTTTTTCCCAGTCTATTTTTTCCGATTACTAATATATTGACTTATAATTGGCAGCAAACTTTACTAAAACATTCCCTCTAAACATCTTAATAGTTATTTTTAATTTCTAATAATTTAAAAATACTGAAAAATCGTTTAGAAAAAAAAACTAAATATTTTTTATAAAAAAAGTCGCAGAAATTTTGATTTTTACGATATCGAAAAAAATCGTACGCCATTTTATTCGGAAAACGATATGTTTTGAGGAAAAAAATCAATATTTGATAAAGTTTGAAAAAAATATATTTATTCTGAAATTTGAAGTTACGAATTTCGGTCAGTCGCTTAAAATGAGACTAATAGCATGGAGACGTTTGTGACGTATCACAATTTATTGCGTAGATTTCAACCGACAACAGATCGCACACTAAGTCTTATTTATAAATTTCCTTCTAGATTCAAATTTGCCTTAAAGTTCATCTGGTAAATAACGGACACCCTAATATTATATATATTTTCAAGATTAATGTTGTGATTAAATCACTCAGGTAATCAGTCATCAGCATTGAATAATTATCTTTCTTATTCTAAACTGCACTATCAAATGTATTGCAACTGAAAATCGTCACCAAGCTTATTAGAATTATTCCCCAAATATTTAAATTAACTTAAACATTGACTAAATTTTACGTAGTAATATTCATGAAATATAAAATTAGTTTAGATAAATTAACATATATTGTCATCGTAATATTGTGACTAAATCACTCAGGTAATCACACTCAGTCATGAGCATTAAATTATTATCTTTCTCATTCTAAAAGTTTGCAATTATACGTTTTGAACTGAAAATTATCACAAAACTTTTTAAAATTATTCCACAAATATTTAAATTAACATAAACATGACTAAATTTCAAGTAGTATTCATGAAACATAAAAACTGTGATAAAATTCTTCGTAGACTTTATTAATTTTTATAAAAATAATAAAAAAAAATTTCCGTTCTGTTGTTTAATTTCAAAAGTCGCCTATCGGCGACGAGTTGCCTTCAATAACATTTTAGTCGCCGAGCCTTGTTGAAAGTGGCCTAAATGGCAATAAGTCGCCGCATCTGGCAACCTCGTCGAGGTTTTACCAAAGTACCGTCGTTATTTGCAATTAATAATATAAAAAAACCAAATGACTGTATATCTATATCCATTGTGTACATTTATCCCACTAGGGGCGCCTGATCCGCATTATTGTCCTATTTCAGCTATTTTATATACATTATTTTATGTACTAGAATTTAATTTGTGCGCGCAAGCGCGTGCCTCATATTTCTTGTCATGATATATTTATGTGTCGTTTATGTATATTATATTCACTTTCAACCAATCAAAATCAGAATATTTATTTTCGACCAATCACAACACGAATAAATTGGTTTCACATACATTTCATCTCAATTTTATTATGGGACTAGAATTCAAATTTGCGCGCGCTTGACTATAGAGTTTGCATATATTTTCTTACATATGATATATTCGACCAATCACATCACGGATAGATTGGTTTCACATTCATTTCATCTCAATTTTATTATGGGACTAGAATTTAATTTTCGCGCGCAAGCGCGCGCGTATAGAGTTTGCATATATTTTCATGCTTATGATATATTCGACCAATCACGTTACGAATAGTTTGATGCCACATACATTTCATCTCAATTTTATATTAGGATATATTAGGATTAGGATTATTATTTTTTCACATTATTTTATTTTCTTATTATTTCATAATTAAATGAGCATTATGAGTCGTGCACTTTTGGATTTTCCAAACTTTTTTTTTATCTATTGTAAATTAACATAAAAAATTTATATTTTTGACTTCGCACAATGGAAATCAATAATTTTCAAAAAATCGGGAAGTTATTGGTTTCACTCCGATTTTCAAAAAATCAAATTTTCATCATATCTCAACGCTTCAGGGTTCTAAGAAGATATTTGTGTATGCGTGTGTGTGTCTGTATGTAAATGTGTAAATATCTGATAACTTGGTAACGGAGTATCCAATCGAAAAGCGATTTGCGGGATCTAAGAAAATTTCGCTGAACTTAGAATTTTCTGTGAATGCAGATCGAATCGACACTATCAGAATTTTCTACTCAAAACACAACGTCAATTACCACAATCTGCATAAAAATCGGTTGATTCGTTCGTGAGATATCGTTATCAAAAAAAATCTCAAAAAAGAGTTTTTTCAAAATAACGAAAAATTTTCATTAAATCAATTATTTCGTAATAATTGATTTAATAAATTGCATAAAAAAATCGGTTAATTCATTCAAGAGATATTGTTTACGAAAGAATACCCACGAAAGTGTTTTTTTAATATAACTTGAAAACTTCTTTTTGATGTAATGAATTAACTATTAGTGCTTAAAAATTTGCGTCGAACGCCATCAAGTTTATCAAAGTCGGTTAATTGGTCCGTATTTTTTCTGAAAATTTTAGTAAAACTCTCTCAACTGCGCGAAATGCCGCCAAACATTGTAAAATCGGTTGCTTTGTCCGAAAGTTATTTTCAAAAGCTCGAAGCTGAAAAACGTTATAATAGGTGAAATTTGGAAGGCTTTGCATTTGAAATTAGCGGGAACTTGTAGGGATGGACTGTAGGGTCAATCATTTAATTAATTTTTTTTTATTTGTTAAGAATTGTTATTTCACTAATTTTTATTTATGTTAACAGAATGATTTTTAGTATTCTGGAAGTCCTGGAACCGTCATTTGCTTTATTTGCAAATGATGAGAGCAAATTATGTCTTCGAAGTGCAGCAATAGATGTGGCTTCATGCCTGTTAACATTACCAGTTCCTCCACCAGTTCAAATACGTACAACAGCACTTCTTGCAGCTTTACACAGTACAAAATCAACGTATCATTCTCATAAAGTAAGTTGATTTATCTCTATTCTCATTTACTTATTAATGAATGAAATTTTTTTTTTATTTGTAGGATCAAGTTTTGCTCATGCATGTACTGGAATCATTAAAAGTAATGCGAACGCTTAATGAGACGTGGATGGATGCTGAAAATTTTTACAGGCTTGTACTTATTGTCCGAAGTATTGCAATTGCTCGCCCATATAATCTAACTAAATTTGCTGAGCAAAATACAACAAAATCTATTGATGAAAATAGTTTACCTATTTTTGAAAATAACCGTATAGCTTTTTATAGTCAACGGTCTCGGGTAGATAATGAACAGCATTTAGTTTTACAGTTAGTAGATGTTTTTTGGATGCTTCATATGGCTTATCCAAAAAATTTAGCTTTGGGCCCTGTTGTAGTTCCCGGTTTAACTCATACTGAAGCCATCACACATGCTTTAATTGAAATTATTCATGCATTTACAATATGTGATACAGAGTGGAATACAGGTATTGCTGCAAAACTATATATTCAATTTCTGTTATCATCTGATACTGCTGTTAGCTTTAGTGCCAAGCAAGCCATTGCAAAAGCTTTAAAACCTCGATTTAAACGAGGTAGAGTTTATGTACCAAGCCCACCATATTGTGATACACCGGGTGCGGCTGCAGACATGGATGAAAAATCAGACATTACTTCTACATTACAATCGCAAGGTACTAAAAATCATGGAAATCAATTTGATGTCGAGACAGTTGAACCTGTGGCACTTCTTGAAGCGAACTCAAGTCAAGGTAGTGGAGCCCTAGCTCCAAGTTCTTTAGAAACGCTACTTGAATCAAGAAGGTTACCGCAACTTCTTGAACTTCCAGCCGATACTGATGATGAAGCTATGGTAGAATTAGCTATTGCTTTAAGCTTACAAGACCATGAAAGTAGTGCCGATTTACAAACTCTCCAACAAAATTTCCAACAAGGATTAATTAATCTTCAAAGTATCCGAAGTATTCAAAATTTAAGTAATTCTGCTTTACAAAATCTTCAAACTCGAGCTATGCAAGGACTAAGTCACGTACGTGAATCAACTTCAAGACAAGATCAGAGTCATTTTTCCAATTCACTTACTTTCACTGGAGGATCCGATGATGAAGGATCATCAGCAGCTGCGGATAGTATAACTTTGCGAACGTCTCTTGCTGAACAAGTGAGAAATCTTGATAGTAAAGAAAGTGAAAGTGGAAGTAGTGAAAGTGGCGGTAGTGCTATGGACAGTATAATATGTGAGCAAAATACTTCAGAAAGAACTTTAGCATATGATGATAATAATCCAGAAACTATTCCCCGCACAAGTGAGGAATCATTAACTCACGTAGATGTAAACTCTTCGAATATTCCTGCTTCTTTGAATATCACTGCACAGAATGAACAAGAACAAAATACTGATCCAGAAATTGAAGTAACAATTGAAGTTATGGTTAAACTTCACACTGTGCGACTTTCATTACTAGAAAAATTAACTCAATTTATACCCCAGTTAACTAATGTATCTGGCGTTCTCTCTATCCCTTTTATGCAAGTATTACTGGCTTTAACATCAGATTTGGATGGTCAAGAAGAAAGTGATCGTCGTAGTATTGAAAATTTAGTAAATGTACTTGTGGATGAATTGAATATGCAAAAACCTGATGTTACAGATATTCATAAACGCAGCAGAAAACGAGAAGTTCATTTAATTATAATGCGTTTACTTAGTGTACTGATGTCAAGATCAAAATGCAATAATAAATCACTGGTTGAAAATTCAAATTTCATTCCGCAACTCACAGCTAAAATCCTCAATAAAGCCGGGGTTATTAATTACTGTTTGATATTATTGAAAGCTTTATTGGAATATTGGAAGACAACTTCAACCGAAGACAGTGAGCCTGTTATGGGTGGACAATTATTAAAAGAACATTTAACAACATCGCCACCTGACATGTCTCCATTTTTTTTACGGCAATATGTTAAAGGACATGCTGTTGATGTGTTTGAACCTTATCCACAATTATTAACAGAAATGGCTTTACGATTGCCATATCAAGTTCATAAGTACGGAGAAAATATTTCTGTACATCCATCGTTTGATCAGCAGGCTTGGTATTTCTATTTGTGTGAATATATGATGCTTTATCAAACTCCGTTTATCAGACGTCAAGTGCGGAAACTCTTACAATTTATCTGCGGTAACAAAGAAAAATATAGACAATTGCGTGATTTACATGCTCTTGTTTCTCATATGCAAAGTGTTCAACAACTTTGTAATTCTGGAGGATATGATCCTTTCCAAACACATCTAAATTCTATTAACTTACCGTATGATTCTTTGGTTGAACTAATGGAACACTTAAAGTGCTGCGTAGAGGTAGCAACAAGTCGAACAGGAAACTGGCAAAGATTTTGTCTAAAACAAAATACTATACTTTCATATCTTTTTACAATTTCGACCTTAATCAATGAAGGCGTAAGTCCTACTGTTCTTCAACTTCTTCAATGTGCTATTTGTTCTTTAACTAAATTGAGAGATATGAAAATAAAAGAATCTAAATTGGTGACAAATTCGAAAGAACGCAGAGATCGTGCTAAGTCTGAAGATTCAGATATAGAAGCCAAGTTCGAAGAATCTCAATCCGTTAATTTGGTAGAACAAATTCAAAAACAAATATCGCCAACATTACTTATTAAATTTATCAAAACCTTTTTATTAGAAACTAATAATACGAATGTTCGGTGGCAAGCACATTCATTGATTTTAGCTGTATATAAAAATAGTGGACCATCTCAACAAGAAGCTTTATTAGACCTGTTTTGGAATTTATGGCCACTTCTTCCTGTTTATGGCCGTAAAGCAGCACAATTTGTTGATCTTCTTGGTTATTTTTCTTTAAAAACTCCTGATGCAGAAAAAAAAATGTATTCTTACATGGAACAAGCTATTACAATTCTTCATACTCAAAATCAATTACTTTCTTGTCATCCTAGTGCAAATCTGTATACGATGCTCGCACAATTTGTAGAATTAGATGGATATTATCTGGAAAGTGAACCATGTTTAGTATGCAATAATCCTGAAGTACCGATGGCTACAATTAAACTTTCTTCACTTAAAGTCGATTCTAAATTTACTACAACAACACAAATAGTCAAATTAGTATCTAGTCACACTATTAGTCGAATAATTTTACGTATTGGTGATTTAAAAAGAGTAAAAATGGTGAGAACTATAAATATATTTTATAACAATAAATCTGTTCAAGCAGTTGTAGAGTTAAAAAATAAACCAGCAATGTGGTACAAAGCAAAAAAAATAACACTTACACAAGGACAAACAGAAGTTAAAATGGAATTCCCATTACCAATTATCGCATGTAATTTAATGATTGAATACGCAGATTTTTTCGAAAATATTCAAGCTTCTTCAGAGACTTTGCAATGTCCAAGATGTTCTGCTAGTGTTCCAGCTAATCCTGGAGTTTGTGCTAATTGTGGTGAAAATGTATTTCAATGCCATAAGTGTCGAGCTATTAATTATGATGAGAAAGATCCATTTCTATGTCATGCATGCGGTTTTTGCAAATATGCTAAATTTGATTATACTTTCACCGCTCGACCGTGTTGTGCTGTTGATCCTATAGAGAATGACGAAGATCGTAAAAGAACAGTAGCTACCATTAATACTTGGCTCGAAAAGGCTGATCGAATTTACAAAACTTTAACATCTAACAAACCTACTTTAGAGATGCTTTTAATGAAAATAGTGGAACATAAATTAGATAGAAACATTGAAGAAGGTATTCAGGTATCGAATAACATTCAAGTAAACCGAACAATACAGCTACTAGCTCAACGATATTGTGGAGATTGTAAAACTTCTTTTGAAGAATTAAGCAAAATCATTCAACGAGTAATTGCTTGGCGTCGAGAATTAATAACATATGACAGAAACCAAAGAGGAGCTCAGAGTTTCTGTAGTAAATCAAAAGTAAATAGTGTTATTAAAGAAGAAAATAATGTCTCACAAACAGGAAGGTGCTATGGATGTGCATCTGCTGCCACAGAACACTGTCTTACGCTTCTTCGTGCACTAGCTACTAACAACATAGCTAAAGAAGTTCTCTGTAAAAAAGGTCTTGTTCGGGAACTAATTGATCATAATTTATGTAAAGGAACAGTACAAACACAAGAAGATGTACGGCAATTACTCTGTTTAATCACACGAGACAATCTACAATCAACAAAAGAACTTTGTTCTCTTTTAAAAAATCGAGTGAATATGACTTTAAAAAATCGAATTACTACTTTAGATTTAGTTATGGAAATCAGATATGAAATGGCTCTTCTTGCTGCACTATTACAAAAAGAAGATTCTTGTTGGGAACAAAAATTGCTCTGCGTAACTCAATTATTCCTTATGGCTTGTAAAGAATCTAAAAGTCCAATTATCATGGAAAATCTAATTTTACCTTGCTTAAAAATTTTACAAGATCTTATTAAACCTGATCAACCTATGTCGAAAAAAAATAAAGATAAAATGATAGAATCTCTTGCAACTGTACAACTACCTGAAGGAATAAATATTGACGTAACCAAGTGGCTTAGTAATGCTTCAAGTCACAATTTCAGCGAATGGTTACAAAAAATGCCCTCAAAAAAATCAAATATTTCTTTAAATAAACCTTTGAAAAAAGATGAAGCTCGAAATTTATATTTGATTGAAAAATATGCACGTCGTTGGTATTATCATTGTTTAAATTTAAAAGAAATTCAACCTCTTCGATTAGTTAACAGTTCGTGGTTAAAGGAAGTTATTTTTAATCCCAGTTCAAGACTTGCTCGGCAAGTAGCTTGCAATATGATTGAAAGTATTTGCCAAGGTACAGAACGTAAGAAGAAAGTTTTAGTACTATTAATTAGTTATCTTGATGAACTAAAGTTTTCTGGTGAAAATAGTGCCGAGTTTTTGTCATTATTCCAAAATCTTATTAATCAAGCACCATGGAAACAATTTTTAGCTATACGCGGGGTAATGATTAAATTGGCTGATTTATTAATGGACGAAATAAAAGAACTACATCGGTTAGAAGAATCTACCTTAACAAGCGATTTAACTCAAGGTTATTCGTTAAAAATGATAACAGAATTATTAGCTTCATTTTTAGAACAAGAAAATATTAAACAACAGTATAAAGGTAGATTAGTTGGCGCAGTTCTCAATGGGTATCTTTCTTTAAGACGTTTGGTTGTACAAAGAACTAGGCTTATTGATGATACACAAGAAAAACTTTTGGAATTGTTAGAAGAAATGACTTCAGGAACAGAAGAAGAAACGAAAGCATTCATGTCTATTTGCGTAGAAACTGTACAAAAATATAGTCTAGAAGACGTTACAACACCAGTATTTGTTTTTGAAAGACTTTGCTCAATAATTTATCCTGAAGAAAATGATATTGGAGAATTTTTCTTAACTTTAGAAAAAGATCCACAACAAGAAGACTTTCTTCAAGGAAGAATGCTTGGTAATCCATACAGTAGTTTAGAGCCCGGCCTTGGTCCATTAATGAGAGACGTGAAAAATAAAATATGTCAAGATTGTGAGCTTGTAGCTTTACTTGAAGATGATAATGGAATGGAGCTCCTTGTAAATAATAAAATTATAAGCTTAGATCTTTTAGTTAAAGAGGTGTACAAAAAAATCTGGGTTCATGAGGGAGGTGAATGTGATGCTATGAGAGTTGTTTACAGAATGAGAGGTTTACTGGGTGATGCAACTGAAGAATTTGTTGAAACGTTAAATGTTAGCTCTGAACAAGAAATAAATAACGAGGAAGTTTATAAAATGGCAAATGTACTGGCAGAATGTGGAGGACTTGAAGTAATGCTAGCTCGTTTAGCTGCAATTCAAGATGTTAATCGAGCTCGGCCACTTCTCCAAGTATTGCTAAAATTATTCAGATTGAGTGTTAAAGTTAAAAAAAATCAAGAAGTTTTGAGTCGCTCTGAATTAGGAGCAGTTACAATATTACTTGAAATACTTCAAAAATGTCTTGCTACTGAATCTGATAGCTCTCAAGCTAAAATAACTGAACAATTATTAGATATTATGGAAACAATACTTACCAATGCCACTTCACAATCTTTAAAATCTTTCAAAGAATTTTCAAAAACTTTGGGTGGACCAGAACATATTGAAGCTCTTCTTTCTTGCACTCAATCATCAGCTGTTAGACAAAGTACTAATGTTTTAATTCATCTTGCTCGAGTTCTCGCTACTCTAACATACGGTAATCAAGATAAAATGAATATTCTCTATAATTATTTTAAGCCTGTGCTCAATTTTTACGAATTTGATTATGAGCATACAGCTGAGGATGAACAAAAGTTGGAATTATTCTGTGTATTAACTCAGGGAATTGATCAAAATGTAATTGGTAACACTTTAAAAGATTATTTTATTGATATGGGTATTGTTAGAGATGCATTTGAATATATAACAGTTTATGCTCCATGTGTAAAGCCTACACTTTTACGTACTGACAGTGATGAGCTGAAAGAATTTATATCAAAACCAGCTCTGAAATACATTCTACGATTTTTAACTGGTTTGGCAACAGATCATCAACCAACTCAACTTACTGCATCTCAAATTACAATAAATATAATTCATAGACTTGAACAAGTATCATCTGATGAACATGTTGGATCATTAGCTGAAAATCTTCTCGAAGCGCTGTGCACAAACAAAAAAGTTGCTAAATTAATTGAAGAAGCTCGTCAAAATACTCGTAGTGAAAAGAAACGTTTAGCGATGGCAATGCGAGAACGTCAGCTTGGCGCTCTTGGAATGCGAACAAACGATAAAGGACAAGTTACTGCTAGTGGAACACTTCTTCAACAAATAGAAGACCTTGGAGATGAGACTGGACTTGTGTGTGTAATCTGTCGCGAAGGATATAAATTTAAGCCAAGCATGGTTTTAGGAATATATACTTTTACTAAACGTTGCAATATTGAAGAATTTGAAGTAAAACCAAGAAAGACTATTGGATACTCAACAGTGACACATTTTAATGTAGTTCATGTTGATTGTCATATGTCAGCAGTTCGTCTAGCACGAGCCAGAGATGAATGGGAGAGCGCAGCTTTACAAAATGCAAATACTAAATGTAATGGTCTTCTTCCACTTTGGGGACCATTAGTTCCTGAATCTGCATTTGCTAGTTGTTTAGCTAGACATAATACGTATTTGCAAGAATGCACGGGTCACAGAGATATATCTTATTCATCGACGGTTCATGATTTAAAACTTTTACTACTTCGATTTGCTCAAGAAAAGAGTTTTCATGATGATACAGGAGGTGGAGGGCCCCAGTCTAATATGCATATAATACCTTACCTAATACATATGGCTTTATATGTCATGAATACAACGCGAGCTAGTGTTAAAGAAGAACAACAAATGATGAACTACCTGAAATCGCCTTCATCATCTGCATGGCTAGATCAATGTTATGAAGCTGAAGGACCTTTGTATCAAATAACTCTTTCACTCGTTGTACATTCGCCTACTTTATGGAAGGAAAAAAGAATAATACATTTACAAAGACTTATTATACTTGCTCATCAACGGCACATTTCACCTTCCGGTCCAACAAAAACAATTACTGACATTACTGTGAAGGAGTATTCTATTTATAAAAGTATTTTCATCTACTTTGGTCTCATTGATGCAATTTACGCAAATTTCTTTAAGGACGCAAATTCATCTGCTAAAATTACATCATATCAACAATGGTCCACTACTCTAGCTGACTATATTCGAGAAAACGATGAAATTATGATAAAAGCTTCAGAACATGTTTTAGCAAAATATCGAGATGAATTATTACCCTGCAGTTCATTTAACGAATTTTGTGATATTGTTGGTAAGTATTTTTTTGAATTAATAATTTAACATGTGATTAAATTTTTTTTCTTATAATTTTCAGATTTACATGGCGATATTCCGGATTTACAATCATATATAACTGATTGTTTAAAAAAGTTAGCTTGAAGGAATGATTTAGAAATCCCAATGTTACTTTAAATATATTTAAATTGATTTGGTAATAATTATGGAAAAATTATTTAATAATTATAAATTATTTGTAACACATTATTTTATTCATATTAATTACAATTTTGTTTTGAAAAGAATATCAATCTGTTCTTCAATAAATTTTAATTTAATAAAATGATGACATATTTGTATCATAGAAATACATTTTGATGACATTTTATTTTTACTGTTCTTATATAATCTGTACTGATATTTATTATTAGAACATTAAGAAAATCTCGTACATTACATTTTGCTTACTGTATCCCAAAGTTCATATTTTTAAGTCACACTTTTGTAATTATGAATGTAAAAAAAAACTTAATGATAATTTGGCGACCTAAGTGCTAATGGTGTGTTTAAACAAACAAAAATTGAAATTTTATTTTTTATTTGTGAAATCAGTCAGCTTTAGTTTAGTTAAATACAGAAAAAAAGTGAAATTACAGCATATAGTTGATTAATTAGCTATTCGAGATTATAAAAAAAATATAAAATAAATTTTCTGTACTAGCAAAATTTACAGATTAAAATTAATAACCGTTTCCATTTGTTTCTGTTCTTGCACTCATCAAAATAAACCATGCTGTCTTTGTTGCACTCATACGGTTAATGAAAACTTAAAATTCAATTTCTCGTTAACAAATAAAAATTAAAAAAAAAAAACTTACTCGGGAATAAATTCATAAATAATTTATCGAATATTAAAGCGTCTTTTTTTATAAATTCTTATTTATTTAGAAGAAATTAATAAAACTGCAATTCCAGGGAACGTCTCTTATGGAAAATTTTATACGATCAATCATTTACTAAAACTGAATGATCTATGTATCACTTTTCCATAATTTAATAGTTTTATCAGCTTCCAGAGCTGCTGAGGCGATAATATTGTCGGTTGGGTGGCATGTTGTACAAAGCACGACATCTGCAAAAAATATTAAAATTCAAAAATTAAATTAATAAATAAAAATCAGATTAGTTCATATTGGTTAATCATTTCATTATATAATAGAAAAATTAAAAAAAAAAAAAAATCTAGACGTCTGTACATAACTAAATTAGTAACTAAAAAGTTTAAATAATAATGTATATTATTTACAAAATTTTTCTATAGTTTCTATAACATTTTTAGTGTAAAATTTGTAATACTTTTTTTGATAATGTGTGGATTCTTAAATTTTTTTGAATACTTTATTTTAAACTTTTATCAATAATTTTTAAACCCGGGGTGAATAAATTATTATTACAATTAAAATGTTTGGGATTTTTTTTTTAAGTTTAAGTAGTGAGAACAGCTAAATAGAAATTTAGCAAATTTTTAAAAATATCTGGGTTATTTGTTGAATTCTAATAATGATTCAGTAGCAAATGTCAACCACAGTTTATTATATTTCTTTTTTTAATAAGATGGTTTATTTATTAAGTGTTTATATCTTGAAAATACGTTTCCGAAAGGAATAGTATATTACACACTTTGGACAGTAAATAAGAAAGCCTCAGATCACATGTTTATTAACCTCGGCCAACATGTGATCTAAGACATTTCTTATTTTACTGCCCTCGGTATGTAATATACAATCGCGTGCATTAATTCGGGTAGGTTTTTATGTTTACAGTTTTTTCGTCACTTCTAAATTTGGCCGTTTCTAAACTCTAATCTTTGAAAACTGTAAATTTAGCGAAACGTAAAAAATGATATCACTAAAATGAGAAAAATATAAATAATTTCAAAAATAATTCATGCTTATAACAAAATATGACAAAAGAAAAAACGTCCATGTAAAAAAAAGAAAATTCCTAAATAATGCCGTTTGTAAAATGAGCGAGTTAAAAACTTGGAATTATTAAAATATCGCTAGCTTTAAAACAGTCGAATTAAAAACAAAGAACTATTAAAATTATTACAAATTAAAATGTAAATGCAGGAATCTCAACTTTCTGCCCTTGTAGTGTAATATACTATTAACGTTACTGTACTCGTCGACTACTATATTCTCTATACATATACACTAGACTGATTCAGAATAAAAAAACTTTTTTTTTTTGAGTTAATACATCTTTCACGCTAAATTCACGTGGCGAAGTTTTTAATCGGCTAAATTTATTATTCTCCAATTATTTAATTTCATTTTTTTAAATGTTTCTTTTTTTCAACTGTTTACATTTTAATTTGTAATAATTTTAATAGTTCTTTGTTTTTAATTCGACTGTTTTAAAGCTAGCGATATTTTAATAATTCCAAGTTTTTAACTCGCTCATTTTACAAACGGCATTATTTAGGAATTTTCTTTTTTTTACATGGACGTTTTTTCTTTTGTCATATTTTGTTATAAGCATGAATTATTTTTGAAATTATTTATATTTTTCTCATTTTAGTGATATCATTTTTTACGTTTCGCTAAATTTACAGTTTTCAAAGATTAGAGTTTAGAAACGGCCAAATTTAGAAGTGACGAAAAAACTGTAAACATAAAAACCTACCCGAATTAATGCACGTGATTGTACTATAATACTTTCATATCTACATATTCTTTAAGAATCTACATTTACTACATTTATCCCCTTATGCATTTCATAACATAAAATAAATAATATAATAAGATAAGTCATACCTGTATGACCTTGAAGTTTTTGAACAACTTCTTTTGTTTGTAAATTCCAAATGTATACCATGTTATCTTCTGATCCAGAAACAATCCACTGAAATGTAAAAAAATTTAATTCATTGATTGTTTTATTTAAATAGTTTTTTACTCTATTAATTATAAAACTGACAAATTAAAGTAGAAATAGTTTGCCAATAAAGAAGAAAGCAATAGATTTTTTAAAAATGTATTAACAGAGATCATTTATGTGGAATGTTAAGGGTTAATTAAATTCACGTGTAGATTTTAAAATAATCTTAGTACCACAAGTGTGCTTAAGCTTTAAAAATTGACTTTTAGCAAAAGTTAACCAAAACTCCAAAAAACAAAGGTTTAAACTACAGAAAATATGAAATTGTTGTTCACTCCATTAATAACTAAAAAATTATTAGAACTTATACAAACCTTGCCGCCGGTGACAGAAAAATTGGCAAATATGCAGTATTTCTCATTACGATGGCTTGTGTAAGTTTTCAGACATTTTCCTTTGCTATAATCCCACAATTTAAGAGTATTATCCAGTGTAGCCGCCAAAATATATTTCCCATTGGGAGAAAATTTAACGAATGATACTGGTGGATTATCGTCATCAATAAGAGTTTTCAAACATTGTCCAGATGCAGTATCCCATATACGGCTATTTAATGATATAATTATACTTTTTAAACTTGAAAAAATCAATAGAAACGATAATTTATAATAAATAAAATTTTTAAGTCAATTTTACCATAATCCATCATAACTGCTGGATACAATTAAGGATCCATCTCTATTGAAATGAACAGCACTTACAGGATCAGAGTGAGCTGGTAATGTTTTTAAACACTTTCCTGTTCTAACATCCCAAATTCTAACACTTTCATCAAACTGGAAAAATAATTTTTTAAAAGGTTTTTTTCATTATTTTTAATTTAATTATAGAAAAAAAAAAAAAAACTTACTGAACCAGAAACAATGAGATTGGATTGAGGATTAAAATTACAACAAAAAACGTAGTTACTATGACCTTTCAGGGTTTTTAAGCACTTAGCCTGAAATATGTTATGTATTAATGCATCGTGATTTATGATTAATATTTAGAAAAAATGATTTTAAAGTCAATACTCACCGAGCTAAGCTCCCATATTTTTAGAGTTTTGTCATCAGAAGCAGAAACTAATAATCGGCTATCACTAGACCACGCTACATCTGAGATTCCTAACTTATGTCCTTGAATAGTTTTTTCAAATTTTCCATCATAAGATCCCCATATTTTAATAAGTTTATCAGCAGCTGAGAATAATAAAATTCGGATTGATATATATATATATATATATATATATATATATATATATATATAT